TGCTGGATGGGGCTGATGGGATTTGTAGTCCAACAGTTTATGTAGGACATGATGTTGGCTATCCTTGTGCTATAACAAGAGGGACAGAAAAAGGACATGGGCAAGGTGGGTGCCCTACATTCTATCTCTCTCTTCCTCTCCTCTCCCCACTCACCTCCAGAGAGAGGATGGAAGACTGTTCTGTGGAGGATACCCACATATCCAGTTTGCCTTGATTCCTTTCTAGAATTAATGCATTAGCTCTTATGTCGGGGGGGCATCAAACCACCATTATCTGTGTGCATTAAATAAATGAGCTAGCTTGATTGGAAGTTGCCCATTCCTTGTGGATCCCTTGATTGTCTTGGAGGTCTTGAAAGATTAGTGGGGTTCTATGGCATAGGAGAGAGGTGTGGATGGAACAGGGTCAGAGCAGACATTAGGGTGTGAGTGACAAACTCTCCCTCTGATTCTTTTCATGGCTGCTTTAAAACATATGAACAACGTAACACCAGAGAAAGTGATAGAGCCATTTAAAAGATGCAATTTTGGTGGTGGCTATGTCCTAAAATACAGCATGTTAGTAAGTATGTACACAAGCACACAAGTAACACAACTACTCTGTAATGCACCTGGCAAAGATTCACTAGGCTTACATTCTTCACTGCATCTCTTTCGTGCGTGTGCTGTTTCAAAACCAAAATCTGCATTATTTCCTACTCAAATTCTGTTTATGCTCTTTCCATGCCCAAGAGTTAACTAAGATTCAAAATCCCTTCAAAATTAAGAACTGTCTGATCACGCCATCAATCTTCTGCTTACCCCCGCTTTAAGATCACTCATCAAGCCTTTTCAAATGTGTAGACCTACCACCATCCTCACCATTTCTCAGCACAGCATCATTTATCATTCCCCTTGGTGGGCAGATTGGCCTGCTCCTGCACAGCAGGCAGGACATTCTGCAGGTCTGTTTTGTTCCCCCCCTGTGCTGTTATTTCCCTTTTCTCTCTGCCAACTGATAAGCTCCAATTATTCTTCCAAGGAGTTTTTCTCCTTCAGCATTAATTATACTGCATGCATCTTTGTTTTCTTTGCTCTCCTAGACCTGTTTTTGTTGCATTAAAACATGATCTTAAAAGTTCCATGTTTGATGTAAGACCCCCAGCTCAACAGAACACTATAGGGGAGAGGAAGTGCTTAAGAAAAATGTCCAAGGTGCCCTTTATTCTTACAGAACAGGGGTGGAAGGGCCCCATTCCCATGTGGGCAACCTTCTAGGGGCCAGGGGCCAGTGGTGACCATGGCCGGAGCAAAGGTAAGTGGAGTAATGCATGCAATTCTCACCTTGGTACACACTAGACTACATTGCAGATGAACAAAAGTCAGAGGTTTCTGCAGTCACACATGTCCATCCAGATGAATACAAAGCATTATCATAGCTCAAGGACACATTACAGTCAGGCCAAAAAGCAGCATACTAAGCAGTGGCTGGTGAGGGTGAGAGTTGGAGAACTCTGCAGGACTGCATTTGGCCAGTGGCCCTGAGGTTCCCTAGCCATGTCATAGAGCATGCTGGTTTATTTCTAAGCCCTGTTCAGACATGTGAATTCCACACATGGTGAGGGAGAGAAGGCAGAAGCATGTTACATCTGCCCTTCCATTTCTACCCTCTTCACCCTTTTATGAGCTGGAAGGATGGCTTCTGTGCTGAGGAACCCTTTAAACTTGGTTCTCAGCACAGTTTGGAACTCTGATAATCTTCCCAGGCTCTAAATCACAAAAGGAACCTACATGTGTAGAGCAGGATTCTTGCTGTGGTAGTTCAGTCCCTAACATGTGGATAGTAATTGCAGAGAACAGGGGATGGACACACAAAGAGGACTAAGATTGGGTGTAAGTCCCCAAGCCCTTCAAGAGAACATAAAAGTCACAGTTCTACTAGTACCAAACATTACTCTGTTCTCACCCCCATGTGGACAACCAATTGCCTGGTTGCATATGTCAGCAGTAATAGAAGCAAAGGCTAGTATTCTGGAGAAAGAGCAAGAACCAATTCACATGGTACAACTGAAGTATGGTTGCTATTGGAAACTGCTTCCCTGTGGTAGAGGCTATGTTACATATGGTATGGGCTGACAGCTAACCTATTGAACATCTCCATAGCAACAGAGTTACCAGGGAGAAAGGGGCGGCAATATCACAAATGATATTTTGCAGATGATAGCACAGATCCATGGGGTAAGCCCATCATATACACCAAGGATGGGTAAACTGAATATATGTATCGCCTGCCTTTTCCCAGATATGACTTAAGGTGGATTACAGATCAAACAACACCCTCCATTTCTGACTATTGGCTTTGCTGTCTGTGGCTGATGAAAGTTGAGTCCAACAACATCTGGAAGGTTAATGTTTCTCTGTCCCTGCCATTTTTTCAGCTGCATGGAACCCACGAGATTAAAAAAGCACTTTTCACCAGTTAATTTTGTTGGAACTGTTAACATTGTCTCTGAAGTAGAAAGTCTATAGATTTAAGATATACTCTAAGGCTGTAGCATGGAACGAGTGCCATAAGAAACACTAATGTGAACACCGGTGATCTGAAATGAGGGATTCAATCTTAAAACAAGCTATAACCAAGAGCTGCAAGGACTGAAAGAATCTGTGCCAAAGCAGGTAAGATTGAACCTTTGGCCTGACAAATTCCAGAACTTATGCAAGAGACAAATTGGTTGTTATTATTAGTGCTGTGCAGTTTTCAAAGTACTTAACAAGGCCCCTGTAAAGTAGGTCAGTTTCTTCAGAATGAAGAAAAGACCTCACAGGCAAAGAGTGGCTTAGAGGAGAAGAGTAAGCTTCTCTCAGCCCACATATCAAACCTCAGCACTCATAATGCAGTGAAAAGAGGGTTGTGTAGGAATGAAACTAGTTTATTATCCAGCACAAAATTGAAATTCACTGTCAGTGGTAAACTTAGCACCAGTGGAATGACTGTGTTATTTCATAATCACACGATCATTTCCCTGCCCTGGGACTGCTTACACAAGGGGTTCTAGCCCTTTAAGAGCACCACTGCTCTGCTTTTTTGGAATTTAAAGTTTCACAGGTTTTAATAAGAACACATGGTGCCTCACACAAAGCACCTCTTAATCTCTAAGAAACAACACAGCCTTGCTCAGAAGGAAATTCAAGCTGAGCGAAATTAATAGTTCCAACTGGTCTTTCAGCTAATGCTGCCTGGATACTTTCCTATTCAGTAGCAGCAGGACTTTGAAAGCAAACAATCTGGTGGTTTTCAGACAGAGATGCAGCCCAGGTTCCACTCTCTTAACAGACAAAATTGCCTTAGAATGAGTCAGGCCATAGGTCTATCTAGCTCAATATACATGGGATATGGAGCCTGCTATTCTCCGGATATTGGACCAACTTGCATCACCTCCAATAACCATGGCCAATGGTCAGTGATGGTGGGTGTTGTGGTCTTACATTTGAAGGGGCAGAGGTTCACCCTAACTGGCAGTGGCCTTCTGGAGTTTCAGAGAGAGGTTCTTATCTACTCCTACCAGGAGATGCAAGGAATTGAAGTTGGGACTTTCTGGATACAAAACATATTCCCTGCCACTGAGCTATAACCCCAGCACAGTCACATTCAGTGCAAGTTAATCTGTGTTTTTTCTTTCCATTTTAAAAAATGCTTCTAATTGGAACCCAGCAGTTGAATTATATTGGGGATGTGTCCTTAAAATGCCCCCACAAGGCAATTTAGCTTAACAAAAGGTTTCAAATAGTAAGAGTGCAATCCTAAACACATATATTAAAGACCAAGCCCCATTGGTGTCTAAATAAACATGCGTGGGATTGGAACCCAGTGATCCTGAACAAATATTTATACCTATATTAATACATTTGTGACTTCAGAAGGACTTTAAAGTATACATAGTAAGTGTACACAGACTGTAGTCCAAGAATGGGGGGGGGGGATTACATTAGAAAAGTTATGTTTGTCTTGATGAGTTGTGGTGGTGAGGGAGGGGGGTGGAGATGAAATCCATTCTATGTCAAGCAATGTATTTTTAATTCTATTTCTGCCATTTCAAATCTCAAAGTACAAAACTGAACAGATTGGAAATCATATCAGCAGGTTTACTTGGAAAGAGTCCAAACCAGGAATTAGACAACAGTGCAGGATTTGAAAGAGAGGATGGGTTTGTTGCTTAAATTTATGATTACTGTCAGTATGGCAGAAAATGAAACTTTTGGCTCTAAACGAATAAGAGTATAGAAGAAATTAAATGGATACAGAGAGAACACAGGGAATCACAGATATATTATTTTACAAAGTACAAATTGTTGGCCTTATAGCTACTCATCTTGTACTCATTCTGATAAAGCTATGAAGCAAATGGTCCTAGAATATCCAACTTGGAACAGATGTCAGTGCCCCCATATGGGGCATTGTCTTCTATTTCTGACTGTATCTCACTCAAAATACATTTTTTAAATCAATAGTATGAAGCAGACAGACAACAAATGACACACACACACACACACACACACACACATATATATATCACATTATTGCCATTTCTCTGCTCCCAGGGAATAAAAATAAAATCCTTTCACCAAGGCATCTGTGGAATTTCCAAAAAAGCAAATAGCTTGCATTTTTTTTAAAGACTTAGCTTTAAAAGGCACAAATTTGCCACAAACAAAATTTATTTTTATTTCTCCCTAAAGAATAGCTTGGCAAGTCATAAAACAAGGAGTAACAGAGTGAGTGTATGAGTCAAAACAGAATATTGTTCTATCCTTTGCTGTTGTTCTGTCCATTGCTATAATCGATAATAGCTAACAGAATGTCTGTGTTTTAAAGACAGTGCACTGCCAAAAAAACTAGATGCATGGATAACAGAAGGGATTTAATTATGGGGAGTATGTGAGCTTCCTGGGGACATCTAATTGGCCATTGCTTGAAGGTGGAGTCTAGGTTAGTTGGACTGCTTGTCTGCTCTTTTGCGGATGGGCCATAGCTCAGTAGTAGAGCATCTGCCTTGCAAGCAGAAGATCCCAGATTCAATCTATGGCATCTCCAGGAAGGCTTGGGAGAGAGATTCTTGGCTGAATCCCTAGATGCTGCAGACAATACTGAGCTAGATAGACCAATGGTCTCATTCAGTATAAAACAGCTTCCTGTGTTCCTATGTTATTCAAAGTACAGTATAGAGATTTGGTAAAGGCTAAACACAAATCTCAAAAAAGTACTAGGACTAAGCCAAACTAGGGAAGGGGCACATTTCACAAACAACTTCATCCCCTGTGGAGTACCCTCCCTTCTTTGATCAACTGGGGTGCTCAAAGGTGGACAGAAGTGTTTACACACACAGAGAGAGAGAGACAGACAGACAGACAGACAGACAGACTGACTTTGGTAAATGTCCTCCCAACCTTCAGGCTCTTTTGAAGACTTTGACAGGCCCAGGACACTATGCTCATTTGAGGAGTCCCTCCTTGTCAATTTGTGACTGTATAATAAAATTCATTGCTGTTGTTGTTTTGGCTATGTGGTGCTGTCACAGACAGCAAGCAAAGCTGATTTAAGAAACATGTCAAATTCTTTACATTGTCTCTACTTTCCCTCAGGGACATCATCACCTTCCCAATTAGTTTCGGAGGCTACCAGTCCTATCCTAAAAAATGTTTAGTCCAAGTCCTCATGTGTTCAATTAGCTCCAAGGATGTGTGGCAAGAATTGTATGTTGGTACAGAGTTCTGTTTATTGATTCTCTGCTTTGAAACTTACCATGTTACAACTTACCATCATTATTATTGGTAGAAAAAGAAGCATCTGTCTTCTCCTTTTCAGCCTTTCTCCCATTTGTTTCATTATTTACTTTCAGTTCCTGTTGTCTGACTGTGTCATACTTCATCCTAGGTAAGAGGTTATAGTCAATCTGAATACATAGTGGAGGGGTTGGACATTCTGTTGTGGCCACCTTCCCTTGCGGTACACTGTTAGGGGCCATATGCCAGTGACATCTGGGGCCAAAGCTGATGGAACAGCAGAGCAAAGAAACAGCAACTTTTCTCTCTCCTTTTCTGACAACCTTCTCTCTCTCTCTCTCTCTCTCTCTCTCTCTCTCTCTCTCTCTCCCTCTCTCCCTCTCTCCCTCTCCCTCTCCCTCTATCTCTCTCCCTCTCTGATTCCTCTTTCTCTCTTTCCACTGCCTCTTCCTTAGCAGTCAGCTGGCTGAGTGTCATATCACTCTGGTTAAAGGTTTAAAATGATCACCTGCAGCGAGCTTTTTCCTTTCTTCCCAACCACATCCTTTTTGGCTCCCTGTTCCCATTTTTCCTTCTCTCCCTCCCCCCTTAGAGTCTCCTATTTGCATGAAATACATCCTTCAGGCAACATTTCCCCCACCCCTACTATGATGTATTTACCAGAACAGGAAGAGAACACATTCCCATTCTGGAATAATGTTCCAATGGTATAAAATCAGCAGTGAACTTTATTTCAACACAGGCAGCCTGAACAACTTACTGGGTACAATCAGATCATCATTCTGTAGTATGTAATGACTACGACGTGGATTTTGACACAGTGAATAGAATATATGTTTGTCTCTCAAATGGACACTGTAAAGGTCCACATGTTACCAGAATGCAATAAGGGACTATTAGTCCTTGCAGGTTAACTCTGCTCTCACCCCAAATTAGGAAGCACCACAGCCATGCCCTTGTCACAGCCACCATGCTATCTGCATGTTTAGCCTATGCTGATGTGTGCTGATGAATACACATGCAGCTCTATGTGAGGGGAAGAGTATGTGAGGGGAAGTCTTCCTCACATGGAGACTTATGCACATATTGATATAGAGTGGTACCTCAGGTTACATACGCTTCAGGTTACATACGCTTCAGGTTACAGACTCCGCTAACCCAGAAATAGTGCTTCAGGTTAAGAACTTTGCTTCAGGATAAGAACAGAAATCGTCCTCCTGCGGCGTGGCAGCAGCAGGAGGCCCCATTAGCTAAAGTGGTGCTTCAGGTTAAGAACAGTTTCAGGTTAAGTACGGACCTCCGGAACGAATTAAGTACTTAACCCGAGGTACCACTGTATGTGCATATAATTCTTTCTCATGCTGGCCAAATGTGCAAACAACAGGAAAGCATGCCATGTACCATTGACATTTGAAGCATTAGATAATGCATTAAGCATGGTTAGCTGTTGATTCTACTTCACACAACGTAGAGATGTGTACACAATCACCTACTTTCTCTCACGCATAAATATCAAGCAAAACTGATACCCATATAGATAAGGTTGCTGCTTCCTTTCCCTCATTTTGGTATTTTTTTATTTTTATTTTGCATATCAACTGTTACTAATGAATGTCCTACTTATTTATAGTCTAAGCAGCTTATGAACAAGGAAATTAAATTAAGAACATAAGGAAAACCTGCTGCATCAGGCCTGGGACCCATCTAGTTCAGCATCCTGTTCTCACAGCGGCTAACCAGATGCCCATAGGAAGCAGATAAGCAGGATCTGAGCACAGCAGCACTCTCTTCTCCTGTGGTTACAAATGCTATTCAGAAGCAGGCTGCCTTCAGCTCTCAAATTAATTCAAAGACATGCTGAAACATGCATCGAAATTACTAGGACAATATATGGTGCTATCACTTTCTAGACAAAACAAGAACTTTTGCGGCATACTGGCTTAAGTTCATAGGCTGAGAGCTGCTGATTCTCAGCCATGAACTGATTCTGGGGGACCTTACAGGGCAGGATGAGAGGAAGTGGAGTGGGCTTCCATTGGAAGAATAAATTATGGTTAAGACTGGCTCTTCCCCCTTCACCTGAGGGAGAAGAACAGAAGGGGAGGTCCTGTTGCCTAAGTGGAATGCTGCTTGCACAATCTTAGATGCAGCCCTCATTTCATTGCTTCCTTCATCTGCAAATATTAACTAAAATGTTCTTAATGTTTCATTCACTCTCAAGTGGCTAATAATAATAATAAATTTACTGTTTATACCCCGCCCATCTGGAAGAGAATCTTCTGAGAAAAAACTGTTGGGAAAACACACACTCACCCAGAATACTAAACAAAGTATCCCTCCCCCAATTTTGACACCTTTGAGAATTTTGTGAGGCCCTTTTCCTCAGCCCCAGTTAAAAAAAATATCCTTGTGTTGTTGTATAATGCAAACTGAGCTTTCTGCATTGAGAAGATCCACTAACCAAGTAATAATACACCATGAAAACATCAGTAGAGTATTGTGGATTACAGTCCTTAAGTAATAGCAAAACCAGTGTAGTTGCTTATAGTAAGCCCTTATTCCCCCCCTCCATTTCCAGTGTATAATTCATTTGAAGTGTGCAACTATGCAAAGAAACCATCTTCATGCTTAGAAGTATATTCTTATGATGTTCATGTTTTATGTTACACAAAGTTCTACCAACAATTCCTCCCTTTCCCACAGTAAAAACACCTTCCTGTCCCCTCATCCAAATCATGTCTTAAACCCTTACCCCCCACAACAAATAAAGGTATAATGAAAGGGGGAGGGGACAGAAAAGGGGGAAAATAGGCCAAAAGGGAAAATCATGAAATGCACCTCTACTGCTTTCAGTCCTAACTCAAATTATTTTGCATATAATTCCAAGAAATCATGCCAAGGCATCTGAAACTTACCTTCCTGTCATTTACTATAAAATCTTTTTTCATGGGCTGCCAGAGTCAGGAGATCAGGAGATCCATTGATGTTTGGTGAGGTGTGAGATTTCCAGTACTGGATGACTAGCTATCGGGATCCTGACAAACCACTGTAACGGCCCTTTTCTAGCTGTCATTTCATTGTGTGAAGGGCTGGGAGGAGTCATGTGACTTGGAGGTGTGGCTAAGTATACATCCTTAAGAACCTAAGTGTCCTTCTGAATCAGACTGAAAGCCCATCTAGTCCCACATCCTGTTCCACAGTGGTCAATCAAATGTCCATGTTAAGCCCACAAATAGGGCCTGAGTGAATTCTCATCCCTTGTGATTGCTACAGCTCAGATGAATCCATGTTACCTCTCAGTGGGACAATGCTTGAAGAAGGCGAGGGTCACCACATGAAAGCGATTGCCAGTAGACTCAGGACTGGAAAAAAACAAAGTACTTCTTCACACAAGATGAAATTAAGTTACAGAACTCATTTTGTGGTGATGGTCACTAGCTGAGATAGATTTAAAAGGTGTTGAAGAAATTTATGAAAGGCAGGACAATACATGGTCACTAGCTATGGATGCTAATAAATGAAACCTGAATGTTCAGAGGCTAGGTAATATACTCTCTGCTCTCTCTGTACTGGCTACTTCCCTATTAATATGGCAAAATTCTGATTTGTCCCCTTAGAATACAGGGCATTTCACCTTCCCAACTCTGATGGGCATTTTAATTCAGAAGCAGTATGTCAAGTGACATACATTATCTATTGAAAGGGTTGTGAGGTCTAACGGGCCATTGAACCAGGAGGCTATGCCTTCCCACTATCCACACATCCAACTGGCATGTGAAGGGGCTCTGTGCTTCTACTGATGTACACAACATAAAGATACATAGTTCTGAGAAGGAACCTTAACTGGTAACTTACACACATTTTTATGTGTTTAGAACCCTTCCAGTTGGCTTCAAAAGCAGGCAGGGGACTGCAGCCACAAGGTGCTCTGGAGATGTGGGTCAGGGCTAGTCTGCTATACCTTCATGCATTGTTTCAGTCCAATCCCCCTACTATTTTCAGTTATTAAGAAAATATTCCTGACATTATGGATAAGTGAGTGCATTCTGCTTGTACATAGGAGGCGTGCTGGTGGATCAAACTAGATTCTGTATCCATTATAAGAAATTGTATGAAGATTGTTGTTGTCGTCAAGACAGGGTTTATGTAGGCTTTTCATAAAACTCATCTCTAGTTCAGTAAAAGAAGACTCAGATTTACAGAGAAGTTATCAGACTCTCCAAGGTGCCTCTTTTATACAGTGGTACCTTGGGTTACATACGCTTCAGGTTACACACTCCACTAACCCAGAAATAGTGCTTCAGGTTAAGA